CCAACCCCAACCCCAAACCCAAACCCAAACCCAAACCCAAACCCAAACCCAAACCCAACCCCAACCCCAAACCCCAAACCCAAAACCCAACTCATGCGCGCGTGTATAATTTGTGTTTCTGCCATAATTTCTAAACTCTTAAATATCCACTCAACACCTCATTAATTCAATAACAAATTTTACTAAAAGCTATTATCACTTTCATTTTTCTTCATTTCTCAACCCTTTGTTTTTTACCTTCATTCCCTTTTTTTTTCTTTATTTAAGATGATAATTCGATATATTTATAAAACATAATGCGATTTCCATTTATAAATTTTCCTATTTTATCTAAAACCAACCCCCTTCAAATTTATTGGTATTGGGGTTTAATATTCATGATTATCCAAAATTCAAAATTTACCTAATTCTCATTGGGGTTTGGGGTTGGTTTTAAACCCCCCTTCTCCTTTTTTCTTAATTGATTATCTTGTATTCAAATTTCCTTACTTTATTTTCTAGAAATTTAAAATAATTAAACCAACCCCAAACACCACTACATTGGGGTTTCAAATTCAGCACTTTCTAAAATTCCAAAATTCCCTATTTTCAATTGGGGTTTTGGGTTGGTTTTAGACCCTTTCTATTTTTCTTTTGTTTACTTCTTTCTAGATTATTTTCTTGAAATTCAAAGATAAGTAAAAACCAACCCCAAACACCACTACATTGGGGTTTAAATGTCAGCATTTTCAAAAATCCAAAATATATATATTTTCCATTGGGGTTTTGGGTTGGTTTTCATTCCCCTCTTTATTGTGTAATTTAATATTGTAATTATTTTATATTATAAAATATTTCATACCCAACAATTTTTTATATTGAAATTTCAGGAGTTTTAACACCAAACACCAATGCATTGGGGTTTAATATTACGAATTTATGAATTCTAAATTTTATCACATTTGCATTGGGGTTTGGGGTTGGTTTTAGACCCTCATTCTTAGGTTTTATTTGTTACTTCCTATCTCCCTCCCACTTTTATTTGTTTTTTTCTATCATATATTCAAATATTTTTCTGTTGATCCAAAAATATTATCAATAAAAAAATACAATTATACTAATTTCTCCTACCTATTTTCCAAGACAATTTTGGCCTCCTAAAATTGTCCTCCCCTACATTCAACCTCAAATCTGTATGGTGATACTACTTCTTAATTTGTACGGGGTAATACCCATCTCACTATTTTTGCTGGGGTTGGGGGTTTCTATATTTTTTATTAGGTTAGTTATATAGAACTAACTCTTTGAATTGATATTTTTAGAATAAATAGAATACATTAACAGGAAATTTTCAAAGTAATATATGTTATTTTTATTCTATATTCTTTAAGAATCCAATTCTGCACAAGTCTTTGTAAGTTTTCCCTAGTATAATTTACATCAACCCTAAATCTTTGTGATATTGATATTTCTTCCAAACAATAATGTGCAAGATACATTTTTGATTCATAGTATAAAACTCAAAATAAAGTAATAGAAATTCAATATTATTTAATAAAAAAAGAAAATGAATTGCGAAAAAGAGCAGTCAGCCTTATTAATTAATTAATCTTAATAATGTTACAATTATTTTTGTAATTTGATTTCATAAAATAATCATTTAAGATTATTAATTCCAGAAAAGGCAAAAAGAAAAATTTCTAATTCAGAATTTATAAAGAAAGTATTTCAAAAATACAGCAAAATATCAATAAAGAAAATTTATAGACTTAGATTAAATAAGGACAAAGTTAAAAATTATTCAGCATGTTAAATAGACCCTCTATATAATTGCTAATAACTCAAAAAAAAAACTACAATTCGATTAAAAGCTCCTCGAAAAAATAGTTTGTAGGTTGATTTGAAATTGAATGATTTAGCCATTTTGAAAAACCCCGAAAACTCTTACTATTATTATTGCAAAGGTATAATTCATTTGGATGATTAAATAGCTGCTACATTAGAGAAAATGAATCGATATGAAGAGGCTCTGGAAAATTATGATTTAGCAATTTCGAGAGATCCAAATAATTCTTACTATTATTTTTGCAAAGGTATAATACAATATAGAAGATTTCTTAGCTTATAGTTTAAATTAAATGAAAAAATTTTGGGATGCACTTAAATGTTACGATTCAGCAATTAAGAAAAACCCGGAAAATTCTGACTATTATAATAATAAAGGTATTATACAAATATTGATGATTTCGTAGGTAAGACTTTAGAAGATATGAACCTTTGTGAAGCTGCTTTGGAATGTTACAATGAGGCAATTTTGAGAAATCCAAATCACTCTACTTATATTAATAACAAAGGTATCACTGTATATGGATGATAACATAGCTCAGATTCTAAGTAAATTGAGCAGAATGGAAGAGGCTTTAGAATTATATGATTTAGCAATTTAGAAAGACCCAAAATATTCTGACCATTATTATGGCAAAGGTACAATTACTATGATGTTTACATAGCGAATACATTACATAAAATGAATCTATTTGATGATGCCTTGGTAAATTATGATTTAGCGATTTAAAAAAATTCAGAAAATTCATGTTATTATTTCGACAAAGGTATCATTCTCTATGGATGATTTCCTAGCTCTGGCTCTAGATAATTTGAACAGAAAAGAGGAGGCTTTAGAATATTATGATTTAGCAATTTAAAAAGACCCAAATAATTCAAACTATTATAACGGCAAAGGTATAACAGCATCTTAGATCTAATTGAAAACAAATTCAAACAATCCCAAAGTTGAAGAAGCTTTGGTGAATTTTGATATAGCAATTTAAAAAAATCCAGAAGATTCAAGATATTATATTAACAAAGGTACATTTTGCTGAGTTCTTAGCTACTCTTCTACATTAAGTCCATAGATATGATGAAGCTTTGGTTTATTATGATTCCGCAATTTAGATAGATCCAGAAAATTCAGATTATCATTATCGCAAAGGTATGATCAGTTATGATGATTTCTTAGCTTTTACATTAAAAGAAGATTACAAATTTAATGAGGCTTTGGAATGTTATGATACAGCAATCGAGAAAAATCCAGACAATCCTGACTATTTGTATGACAAAGGTATCATATAACATTGAATTTCTAAGCGAAACTTTTAGTTTTAATGGAAAGATATAAAGAGGCGATTGAATTTTACGATTCAGCAATTAAGATTAATCCAAAAAAATCTTGCTATTATAATTGCAAAGGTATAATTAAATGATGATGATTAAATAGCCATTGCATTAAATAAACTGTATCGATTTCAAGAAGGTCTTCAGAATAATGATTTAGCAATTTAGTACGATCCAGAAAATTCTAATTATTATTTTAACAAAGGTATGATTTACTTTTGGATGATTTCTTAGCTTGTACTCTAGATAAATTGAACGAAACAAAAGATGCTTTAGAAAATTATGACTAAGCAATTTAGATAGGCCCAAATAATTCTGACTATTATAATGGCAAAGGTATAATTAGATATTGATGATTACTTAGCATCGACATTAGTGAAAATGAATCGAAACTATGAGGCTTTAGAAAATTACGATTAAGCAATTCTGATTAATCCAAATGATTTTCGTTATAATATTAACAAAGGTATAATTTATTTGGATGATTTCTAAGCTGATCTTCTATATAATATGAACAAATTTGAAGAAGCTTTAAAAAATTATGAAATCGGAATTCAGAAAAATCCAGAATATTATGACTATTATTATCGTAAAGGTATAACTAAATATAGTTGATATCTTAGCTAATACTCTAGAGAAAATGAACAGATTTTAAGAGGCTTTGGAATATTATGATGAGGCAATATTGAAAAACCCCAAAATTTCATAGTACTATAGTCGCAAGGGTATAATTCAGAAGAGATAATTTAGCTTTTATATTATGTCAAAAGAAACAATTTGAAGAGGCTCTGGAAAATTATGATATAGCAATCTCGATAGATCCAGAGGATTCCGAAGGTTATTTTGGTAAAGGTATAATACAATATAAATGATTTCTTAGCTAATACATTAACTCAAATGAAAAGATTTGAAGAGGCTCTATAATTTTATGAATCAGCAATTTAGAAAAATCCAGAAAATTCAGATTATTGTTATCACAAAGGTAAAACCAAATATGGATTAATTTATTAGGTTTTACATTAAATCAAATGTAAAGATTTGAAGAAGCTCTGTAATGGTATGATTCAGCAATTGAGAGAAATCCAGAAAAATCTGACTATTATAATCGAAAAGGTAACATATAAAATGGATGATATCTAAGCAAATACTTTAGATTAAATGTAAAGATTTGAGGAGGCTTTGGAATGTTATGATTTAGCAATTTAGAAAAATCCAGAAAATTAAAGTTATCATATTCACAAAGGTATACACATCAATTTATAATTTCTTAGTTTATACTCTAGATAAATTGGACAAATTGTAAAAGATTTTGAATATTTAGAATAATTCAAATGTTTAAAAGAAATATAATTACAACTTCTAACTTATAAAATAATTTATTAACAGGTATTAAGAATTTCGTGATTTGGTTAATGAAATATAAAGAAGACAATAATTTTGAGTCAATTTCAGCAATTTTAAAAATAAAAAAAAATATCAACCTTCTAATTTGTACATACAATTACATAATGTTATATTATTTATTTAAATAAAGTTTTTGCTTTATTAATAGGTTGCTTAAATAATACCTTTGTTCAAATAATAGTTCGAATCTTTAGGGTTTTATTTATCTAAATTTTTCTTTTATGTAATGCAATTTAAGTTCTGTATTATATTTCAAATGATTCCATTCTAAACTGATATCTCAATCCATTATCTTTTATATTAACCTCAACAGGCTAGAATATAAGCTTTGGATGTCAAAAATACAACATAAGAAAAGTATACTCCACAACTCATGAAACAGCAACTTCCACCCCACTATATCTATCGTTTTTGAGTGATTTTAATTAATTTCATATTTGCAAATAAAAGTAACTGTATGTACTTTTGTTATAATTAGTGATTTAAATTTGACAATAGTTTGATAGAGAGATAGAATTTAATGGAATTTTTAGAAGATAATTTGATTTTGGCCTATTCTTATTCTTTGATGGCTCAAAACCATATCGCCTAAAAATTTTCTTTCAACCCTCAAGATCTAAAATTAGTATAATTTAAGCTTTCATGCTTGATTACCTTTTTCAATGCATTCTTTACCAAATAAGTCATTAGTTAAGTAATAATATTTTTAGTATAATTGCTAAACAATATAAACATTAAACAATAGATACTCTTACTTCTTGATAAGAAAATTTTCAATTAATTTAAATAAAATCAATTTAAATTGCAACATTCTTTCAAATCAAAATCATTCCTTTTAAAATTCTCATTTCTATTTAAACTTATAACCCCTCCCTTACTTGCACTCATTTAAACATTTGTGTTTGAATGGTATTAATAAAATTTAAATTTAAGTTTTCGATGGTTGCATGTCTGAATTTGAATAGAATTTCAATTCTCAGTACTGGAGAATTAGTTAGATGAAAAAATAGGAACTATATCCAATAATAGAGGCGAAGATATTGGACTAAGAATCAAAACAGAGCCGGGAAACTATGAGGAAACAAGTTTTGACTTATAAGTAGCCTCCTTCTTATAGCTAACTGTAGCATAAAGGTCGAGAGAACTTGAGGACGCTTAATTTATTGAGAACGCATTGAGCCTGGCCTAGATGGTTGATGAGGGAAAGGACGACTTTCTTCTTCCATTGAAGATATTCCCCGGAAGGCTGATACCGATTTGCAGAAACCGATGGGTTGAACAACTACCTTAAAAAATTTATGAAACTCAACCGTGTATATCTCAAATCCACCAAGAATTTGGATGGGTTAGGAAGAGAAAGAGCGAGAAAGATGAAAGAGATTAAGACAAAGATTATCTAAGAATTCAAATTTTTAAAGGCCGAGAATGATGAATAAATAGAAAGCCATTCTAAAGATTGTGTAGAAATCTTTGACACAACCACTTATGATGAATCAGAAATGGTTGTGTTTATTACCCCCTAATAATAATAGAGAGTGATTGAAATAATAATGCCTATGTTTGATAAAATAGATAGATACTTTAAAATACTTACAGAACCCAAACAAAAAATGAAAGCAATGCTAAAGATAATGAATGACATCATTAATCATCACGGTCTGGCTGGGCTGTCATTTGACGCCATAATGATCTGCCATTCTGTGCCATATAAATGGACGATATAGAAATATTTAAATACTCCTGTGAAGCAAGTGTAGACCTTGCAATCCAAAGAGGCTTCCACAATGAAATTTTATTCGAGATCAAATATTATTATAATTTTTATTTGCCTATTTCCAGAGCTGTTCAAAAAATTGCCATCCCAGCCTGTGTGTAATATTTTGAGGAGGATTATTTTTCCTCTTGGTCCAGAAATATAGCTTGATAAATATAAAAAAAAAATAATAAAAAGGTAAGTAGATTTAATCAATAATAAGATCAATTTCAAAGAACATAGCAGATAATTGAGCCAATATGAGCTTTTCGAAATGATAAAATATATATTTATTATTTTTTAATCTTTAGTTTTTAGATGAAATCTTGATAAAATTAATTCAACTTTATTAAAATTCATAGCTTTGGATAATTACTAGCCCTTGTCATTTCATTCATAATCAATGGTATTTTCTGCCTAAATATTGGCGATAAAAATATTATCTGTAAGAACGTTATAAAAGAGAGTTTGAAGTATCTTAATCTCTCCTATAGAAGGGAAAGAGATTAGGTCTGAGTTTTGACTTCCCAAAAATATTTGGCATAAAGTATACTTACTCATTTTAATTACGTCTTATAATTTAAGAACTATTAGTTTTTAAGCATCTATTGAATTTATTTCTTCATTCTCAAATTCGAGCCTATCTCCATTATAAGTTTCTATTAATGATGTTTGCTATATTTCAGTTTGATCAAAAATTCGTTTCATTCCTATTTCATCCCCCTCGATCTTCAGAAGTATTCATAAGGGGATTTTGTTATTCTCTAAGGATTATAGATGAATTCGAAATAGTATGTAAATTTTTATCGCATTATCATGTTAACATTCAAAGATTAAAGAAATATTGTCGATATTTTTTATACCAATTATGTCTCTTTATATTTTCTTTCAGATTTTCAACACCCGAATCTTTATAGATCTTTAGTTTTTGGTTGTAGATCAATAAACAATAAAGTTTCTTTTCGAAAAATGATTTTAGTAATTTGTATACCTCTCTTTTTCTTTTTGTTTTGACATATACATTTTGAATATCATTTTTCTGGTGTTACTTTTAATAAAGTTTTTGTTTAAAAATTTCTCAATTTTTTCTAGCATAAGGTATAATTGTCGTCAATTAAATTACAAATTTCAATACTGTAAAATTATATTTTATTACTCAAACTTTAAAGTAAATTTTAAAATATTCTGTTATGAAAAAAATAGACGGGAATGGTGAAAAATAGTTAAAGGATGTTGAAGGGAATTCAGCATCAATGAGTAAAGATACTTTTTATTGTGATAGATTATCCTATACCACTCGAGTTTGATAGCAAAAAAAACCATCCTAATTATCTAAAAGGCAAAAGTAAAGAAAATCAAATTACATCAAGTAGTTATATATGATCATTAGTAGTCCAATAAGATTAAAAAAATCGCAAGCCAGTTTAGGTTAGTATTGATCGCCCTTTAGAAGGCAAAAGATTCTTGAACAAAGAAAAGAACTAATAAAAAATATTTTTATAAGTAAGAAATGATAATGGAAGTGAAAACAGCAGTTGTGAATTAGGAAATTCAAATTCAGATTGCGAATGTGCAAAAAATATGATCCCTAAAAAAAATATCGAAATAAAAATGTATTTAGTTTTAATTTATATAGAAATCGAAAAAGAAAAAAGAAGACTGATACAACTCCATTTTATGATTAAATCATCTACCATGATCCAAGAATGAGGAGGATAAACTTCGTTTACAGTTCATCTGGATCGTCAGATTCTGAATATGAAAGGGTTTTTATAAAGAAAGAAGAAATACCTGAAAAAAAATATAAAGATAAGCCATCAAAAAAAGATCCATCAGAAAAAGAAATCCCATTACCAGAGCACATTCTTGAATGTCCAATTCAGCCCCTTCCTATTCCAAAAGTTGAAAAATTACCAGAAGTGAAAAAACCAAAATAGGAAAAACCTATTAAATAACCAAAGATATAGAAATACCGCCCAAAACCTCCAGAAGAAGAATGGGCAAAATATGAAACCCCAAACGTTGTACATCCATATTAATTAAAAAAACCTTAAAAGCCAGTTGAAAAACAAAAAGACTCTAAACCAATTTATGGGAAACCAAGAGAAAGAGTTGAATTTAAAGCTCCAAAAGTTAATTTATTATTTATTCTTAGGCGTAAGAATAAGCAAATGATTTTATTCCGAAAGCTCTTCCAACTCAAAATGCAGCACCATTAAAAGAAAAACAAAAAAAGTAATAAAAAAAATAGAATCAATCATCATCCGGCTCAAGTTATTGTTATGAGTGTGAGTGCTTAAGCGATGCATGTGATTGTTGAAAAATATACTTTGAAATATAATTATTCAGTATTGCTTTAATTTTAAATCAAAACTCAAGAATATTTAAGACTTTATTCATTATCATTAGTTTTTAAAAGAAATCAATTCTTTTAGACATATTATTGAATCTTCGATGCATTTCGCTGATTCTTTCATTCCTCCTAACATGTAAAAACTTAAAAATCCGTGTGACATGCCTTCATAAACAATAATTTTCACATTTCTTTAATTTTTTATTAAAGAGTGAGCTAACCTGTGGGAATGATCTAATAATGGATCTTTTGAGCCAACTAATATTCTTACAGGAGGGAATTTTGAAATAATCTTGAATTTATACAATTTTTACTTCATCACTAAAATGATTGGGGCTTCTAAAAGGGTCAAATTCATAACTGGCTGGATGATTTGTATACGCATCTATGCAAATATCCATCAATGTATGATTCAAGAGAAAATCTTCTAGTCCATGCATATGACTTGGTGAATATTTCATTTTTAAATCTAGCACAGGGTAAGATAGCAGAAGTCCATCGGGCACTTTAATACCAAATTTAATAGCTAATCCTGTTAATGCACAACAAAGGTTGCCTCCTGCGGAATCTCCTGCTAAGATAATTTTTTTTGGCTAGATATTAAAGTGATATTGAAGATGGCTTAAAATCCAATGATAGGCTTGCCAACAATCATCAACTGCCTAAGGATATCTATATTTGGGAGCTAAGCTATAATCAACAGAAAAAATAGGAATTCCTAATTGATTAGCCCATCTAATTTAAAGAAACAGATTACTCTCTGGTGTAATTTTAATGACTAGATGATGACATTGAGATAAAACCTCCTCCGTGGAAATGAATAATTATAGTCTAAAACGTGTCATAATTCAAAGTTTCATTTTTTATTGATTATGAAAAGGTTTACTGAAATTAGTTTGTTTTCACTAAAGATTTTGAGGATAGTATTCTTATTCGTAATTTAGTTTTATCTTTAGTCAATATTGATTTGTGTTGTTTAATATCATAATGTATAGATTTATTAACATATTCTAAGGGTTCATTGGTTATTTTATTCAGAATCCCTTACTCAAATTGTTTATTCATGTAATTTAGGGTCAGAGGTGAAACAACAGGATCAATGTAAATTTTGATATTATGTTTGATGGAAGTAATTCCAAATTCAATTAAATGTTTAATCCCTGGTTTTTCAACCATTCCCATAACACTCATAGCACTTTCTACTTGCATATCGCACATATGTTCCATAGCTCGTAATTTTGCTCTTCCATCCAATACAAAATACCAAACTGAAGAGGAAATAAAAATAATATCTCTCATAAATGAATTTTTAAATTTAGATTTCTTTAAAAATATGGCGTGACCAATTCTTATGGATTTCATAAAATTATAGTATGATTAAGATATTTAATCCGAGTTCTAACTCAACTTCGTATATGTAGAAATTGCCTTAATTTGCCTCCAAAATAGATGATTTTTATTTAAACAAATTATGTCTTATTGACTCATATCAATAGCTGATGCAAATATTCTCACCAAAATATTAAGATGTGAATTATAAACAACTAATTTTTCCTCTAATGCTTATGAATCATGATTGGAAAGATAATGGTGACTTATTCTAATAATTTATTTTAGAGTATCTTGAGTAAAAACATGATTCATATGTTATAGTCCAAAAAAATTGATATCTTGAATATTTCTAGCTTTAAGCCGAAATTCTTCGTTATCTTAGTATTTTGCTAATAAATCTGAAAATTTTGGGCTCGACTTTTCTGTAGAATCTGCAAAAATTTCTAGCAAAGTTTCATACAAATCTTTTAAAACAACCAAATAGTTAACAGCATATTAAATTCTGTGTATGGTGCAATTGCTTTTGATATATTTATGAATTAAATTGTTCATTAGTTAAATTAGGTCTGATAATGTATTTCTAACTAGTAATATAATTAAGTAATACTCAAAGTGCAATTCAATCTAAACTCATCAATAGTTAACTATTAATGACTATCTACAGTCATTATTTACTCGAACAATGAATCAACGTGACCCAATAAATTATCTTCTTCACATAAGTTCGATGGCTTATATATTGGGAATATGGCATCCAAAATCTCCTTATCCAATTATTCATAATCGGCACAAAGTTTTTCCATTGATAATAATTAAATAATCTGATAAAAGAATTTTCAATCACAAATTTGATTTCACAAACTTTAATATAATGCTGTTATTTTTTCATTATATCTAACAATATTATTATTTCTTAGACTTTGAGTCAAGCTTAATATTATACTTGTTATAAACTATTATAATTATTTAATGATTAGAGGGACAATAGAAATATTTGTATATTTAAAAGAGTTAAGGAACATTGATCTTTTTTAACAGGGAGTTTATCAACTTAAGATTTGCATATATAAGAAAGATGATACTTAATTAGATGTTATATCAGCTTAACCATACATGACTGTGGAGTAGAAGAGATTTTTCAATAAATAGACAACAGATACTTATGTGTAATCTTCAAAACTCATTGATACAAGCTTTTACAGCAAAGCTTTTATTATTAAATATTGTGATTAAGTTGTAGAGTTAAATGAGGGATGTGTGTTTAGAATTGAAATCCAAGCTTATCCAGAAATGAACCTTAACGAATTATATTGCATTATTGAACTGCATTTTTGTGAACTAAGCACTATAACACAAGAGGATTTTAAGCCAGTATTATTCATTTTGAATTATTAGGATCGATTACAGAATTATCAAAAATGCGTAGCGAAATTTTCAAGCAAATTACACAATGTTAAATTTATAAAAGAATATGTCCCTTGTGTATTTGATGAATCCCACTTTTGCTTATTAAAATTAAGTCTACACTCAGTTTTAGTTGACTTCAAATATCATCAGCAAAATGACTTATCACTTCAATAATTTATGAATAAAATAACAAATCAATGTAAATGATCAAATTAGCAATTAGTTTCTCCTCATCTATTAAATGGATTCTACTCACATTATAATAAAATGCTTATGTAAACTCATGAATAAGTAGCCAATTATTATTAAACTAGAGTGAAGCAATGCATTTCTGATGAATAAATTTAAAATAAATACAGTAAGTTCACCTATGTCAATACTAAAACAGCAAATTATAAGCCTTTCTCTGAATATGTCACTAAGATCAATGACATCAAAAGTAATCCTTAATTGTAATAAGAAATATGCAATTAGATGTTTTTAGAAATCAAACATATTTCATCCTAAATCTTTGTGGCTTGGTATCAATTTGTTGATGCCTATAATTTTATGGCTTCAGCATTAACTAATAAATTAGAGCAGGAATATTTACAGAAGATTAAGGAAAGGTGGGGTGAAAGTATATTCTAGCATATTTAAACTGTTGACGATCTCTCTTTTTAAGATACCTAATCAGGGAAGAACCATAAATAAATGGCATAGCAATATCGAAATAACAATTACTATAAACAATTAGAACCATTGAATATTGAAGATCTTGATTTATTCCCTGATGCTAAAATACACCCAATAGTTTTTAGGGACGTCTCTCAAAAGCAATAAATTTAACGTAAGTAAATCAAAGGCTTACATTTATTTGTATTTGTTCATGGTTATTAAGGAAATTCTTATGATTTAAGATTGTGGAGAAATAACATTTCTGTAAGATACCCTGAACATCTAACTTTGCTCTCTAAATGTAATCAAGATAATACAGAATAAGATATAATGGCTATGGGAGAGAAATTGGCACTAGAAGTAAAACTTTGGATTAAAGAATGGTGCCCTAAAGAGAATTTTTCTAAACTTTCCTTTATTGGTCATTCGCTAGGTGGTTTGATCATCAGAGCCTCTTTGCAATACTTAACAAAGTACAAAGATAAAATGTACACATATTTATCATTGGCCACGCCTCATTTGGGTTATTCTTTATCTTCAAGCAAACTTGTAGACACCGGTTTATGGGTCATTCGTAAATGGAAAAAATGTATATGCTTAAATTAGCTAACTTTAAATGATTCTCAGAATATTCAAGAAACCTGTCTTTACAAATTATCTAAGTTGGAAGGTTTAGGATGGTTTAACAATATAGCCTTGATGAGTTCCTACTAGGACACTTATAGTCCATTTGAGTCAGCTAGGATCTAAAGACCAAAAGGAAATAGTAAAGATGTTATAATTACCAACAAAATGATTGATAATATAATGGAAACTTTATAAAATAAAAAAATAGAAAGGTTGGATGTTAATTATGAATAATCTGGAAGGTATTTTTAGAATTTCAATCTTGTAGATCTTTAGACGTTATGATTGGTAGAGCAGCTCATATTGCTTTCCTAGAAAACAGCGCATTGATCAAATTATCTGTTTACAGTTTCGATGAATTATTTGAATGATTATTCTATTAATCTTTATTATAACGATACTAGTGCAGGCATATTAAAGCTTTTTAAAATAAATTATGTTAAAATTAGTGAAATTCTGTTTTTATAATTATTATAATGTAGGAAGTATATTTATGCGCCTTATTTGAAAATAATTCATTGCCAGAATTAAAGAGCTTTTTCATTCATTTTAAGAGAGCCAATCCAAGAGTAAAGAAGGTTTACTTTAGAATAACTTCAACTGATTTGGTTTTATATTGCAAAGAATCAATTTCGTCTTGCTATTATATTAGTTATGTTAGTCTTATATATTAGATAATAATCAAGTGATTGAACAGTTAAAATTGGGCAATTAGCAATGCAACAATAAATACATTATATTATAGTTCTAAGATTTCGATACTGTAGTTGGCGCTGTAAATAAAATTGCCTCAAATCCAAAAGATGTCAGAATTTATTTAGAGCAAATTGAGGATTAAATATTTTTGACTGTATAGAATTCAAATGATTTTAGTGGAATATCACATAACAAGATGACACAAGCATTATTAAATAGACATACATTGAATTTATTGAAGAATTAGA